AGGGTTATAAAAAATATTTCCACGCCACACCACGGAAAGAGAAATTAAAGTAAGTCAAGTTTGCGCTTGTTTTGATCACGAATTTCTATATACTCTGCTGGTTTTGGATGGTTAAAATTTGCGGGTTGGCAAAGGAGTAGCTTAGATGGAAATTAATGTTATAAATTGGAAGAAAATATTTCTACTGGGTCTATAATAAAATTTAAATTTTCAAAAGATAAAAACATATTAAAAGCAAATATCCTAAAGGAATATAAGGCTAAATATATGTCATATCAAATAAAGAATTAATTTCACATAACAAAGTTTATCCTTCAAATTAATGACTATGTTTTGGTATTAAATACACATCAAATTTAATACTTCTGTGAAATTTATGATTTTATAATAATCTTTGCAACTAAAACTCTTTAAATGAATTAATCTATCATTTTTTACCATATTTTCCTTTTTACTTTATTTCCTTTATTTATTTATAAAAAACACTTTCCTTCCATCCTAAGCTTTCAAAAACTCTTAAACTTTCCGTAAATTTGCTCTGTACTGCACCCCTTGAATCCTTGTTTTACATCTATTAAGCACTCCACGACAAATGTACATGCATATCCTGAAAGATCGAACGTAACAAAGGTCCCCATAAAAATCTCTCTGGTCACTGCCATTTCCCTGAGGACATAGTTCATACTAAAGTTGTCCTGTCCTGACCAGAAGTATCTGGCATCTACCGTACCCTGCGCGTCGTTTTGGTTAGATTTATACTGCATTTGATTTTGATTTTGATTTTTGTTAGTACTGGTACTGTTATGTGGTGTGTGTAAGTATGCATGCAACATGCAGCCGTTGCAGTCGCCACTTGCGCGTATGCAAAGTTCATGTACAATATGACCATTGTTATGATTTATGTGGTAGAAATATTTCAGGCGCGTTTCCTGCCAATGTTTGCCCATTTACAAACGCGAGGGACCATCTGAGAAACGTCCTGGATGTGGCGCAAAAATAAAAAGAGTTATGGATGGGAGTCGCGCAGCGACTACTACAATATTTTGTTTTAAGCCTGGCCAAATTCAATTTCAATTTGCACCCCATCAAAACATAAACAAAAGTCTTTGAACTCGAGCCATAAACATATTTTTCGGGGTGTATATATTTTGGGATATTTCTTTTGTTGTTTTTTTTTGGCAGTCCCGCAGTCTGCGACAACATGTGGAGTAAAAGCAAACTGTGAGACTTCGACTTTTCGTGTCAGTTGCAGCAGCTTTTAGGGGCGTACCCTCTGTGCCCGTCTGTGGGGGCTCTGTCGAAAATGTTGTCGCTATTTCGGTGTTTCCCCACCATACAAAATTCGCTTTATGCATTTACATGAAAGTGGTGGTGGGGTGTGTGAGAAATCGTAATTGAATTTCATGTTTCTGCGCCTTCAACTCTTTGATGTGCGCTTAAAGTCGAGGGGGTCATTCAGTCGGGGTCTCCTAATGGACAGAATACCCGAAAAATCAGCTAAGTGAATGCTTAAGAATGGCATCCAAAAGTGGCCTCTGGAGAATGCTATTCATAAACGGAAATGACAGTCAAACGTGTTGTCCCAAATCACCCGAGTCCCAAATGCAACTGTTGACCGCCCTCGCATTTTGGATTTTTGGTCTGCCATTGTACACGTCTGTATCCCTGTGCCTGCCCCTGTTTCTGTGTCCTGGTCACCAAATGGCATGCGTTTCTAATTTCCTGACTGGATGGCACCCTCCTCCATCTCCTTGCCCTGGCCATTCGAAATTGTAATTCAGTCAAATTTATACAACGAGATTTTTGGGGCTTACCCCTGTTTTTAATGCGGGTTGCAAAGGGCTGCTGCTGCCCTCTCCTGCCCTGCCTGCCACTTGCATTACGATTAATTGAATTTGCGATGGCATTGCGAGCCAACTGACAGACAGACAGCCTGCCTGACAGATACGAGTATTCGTTTGAGCGGACAAGAGAGACTACTGACTGCTGCTGATGATGATGATGATGATGCATGAGAGGCAACAGAGCAGAAGCAGATGGATATTAGGATTATTAAAGAAAACATAGGCGCCCCGGGCAACGTGCTGTGTATGAAAATAGTACCATGGAAACTCGGACTCAAACACATTGCCATTTACGCCTTGTAACTTACAATATAGAAATATTTTAATTAAATACAATAAAGGGAAATTTAGTAGAATTATATTCGAGATTAATATATGTACATATGTAATTATATTAAAAGCACTTTAATAGGTAATATTAAAATTAAAATTATTCATTGAAAATCTCAAAGTTCCTTTTACATTTTTATTATTATTTTTTTTTGTTTGAGCCGTATATCAATTTTATTTAAGATCTGTCTTTCGCAGAATATTATTAAACTTCCTCTTTTGGGTACTTGGCAATCCTATTTTAGTTATCTCTTATCGGTTGTTGAGTTCGAAAATCTTAAGCAGGCTGCTGGATATGAATTTGAACCACTGACGTTTGTTCGGTTCGGTTGTGGCAGCCAGATGAGAATTTAACGCTCAGCACCATGGCTTGTGACATAAGGTACATAAATAGCATTAAAAAAAAACACTAATATTTTCATTAAATATTCGGTTTACAAATAAAAAAATTTATTTAAATTTTAAATAAAACAGTTTCTTGTATGACTTTTATATAGCCTCTTAAATTAAGTACATAATATATTTATTTTTGGGAAATGTATTTAATAGAATTATAAGAAATATTTAAGTGCAGTTGGAAATATATTTTTATATGTAAATATTAATCACTAAAAGTGAATATCAACAATGTGAAAAGTACATATTTATTTAAAACATCAAGCAAATGAGAAAAATATGTGCAAGCTTTTAAATCTACATGTGTTGGTATTTAATTTTCAGTAATTTTCCATCAGTCAATAAAGGTATTTGTTCTTTCGAAATCTGGAAATGGCATAAATTATACCACAAATGTGATGAAATATGATGAACGAGTTTTTAGTAGTCTCTTAAAATCACATAACGATCTAGACCCTTCAAAAAATTCCTGTCCCAGCATTAATCCGGTATACTCAACCACACTCGATGTTCGTTGCTCCCAAGCATGTCCGTATAAATCGGAGTAACAGCAAAAAACGCTTCACATAAAATCAACTGCATTGATTGTATGGACAACAATTACCGCAGAGATTTCAGCGCTTCTTGTTTTTTCGCCCACGCTGATTTTTATTAATTGCCGACTGCCGACGGCCATGACTTCTGTGTACTTTCGGTAGAAATCAAAATGACAGCCAGCAAACAATTAATCAATTTGCTGCTTAATAATGATGTTGAAGGCTGCAGTAGTCAAAGGTTAATGACAATCGAATTGAGTGCCTGCAAAGCCGAAAATGTTGTTTAAATTTCTACTTAAAGGAGGGCAGATTAAAATCGCATCAGGCTTAGGTTTTGGCAAAGAGTTTTTCATTTTGGTTTGAGAGGCAGCAGTATGGCTGATGTCAGCTGCTGCTCCGCAAAAGGCGACATGACAACTAAGGCGCTACGTAGCCCGCCTTCATGTTGCATTCAGACCCAGTGGGAGCGTCAGCTGGAGCCACATATCACGATACAGCAGCACCCCAAGGACCAACCAGTTATGCCTCTACAGCCCATACGAAAACCCAAACTGAACTCTAGCATTTTGCCTCATTCTGTATGCACTCAACGCATTAAGTGGCGACATGTGTTACACTGAAGACAGGCGACACTCATGGCAGAAACATCGAGGCAGCAACATACATTCATGCAACAGAAGCAGGAAAAAGAAAGCCTCATGTAGGCTGCAGATGGTGTGTGTGTGTCTCCTAGTGTGGTGTTAATAGAATCCATCTCTGTGCTGTGCTGCATGCTAATGCCACGCCCCCACATTAATCCACAGGACAACAGAAAAAAAAAAATTCAGAAACTCCGAAAAAATTACAGCCATGAAATGAAATCAGTAACTCTTTTGCCTGGAATTATTGTTGGGAATTTTGCTGTTGCTTTTCTTGCTAATTAAGTGGCGGCATCATTTCCATGCCAACTGCAGGCAATGGACATGCCGCAGCAGGAGGGCCGAACCATCAAATGAGAAATTAACTCGGATATTGGAACCGCAGTAGTAGCAGCAGCATCCCACTGGATGCCACAGGGCTGTGTGAATCTCCTGCTGCGTGGCTATCAAAAATCCGGGGTTAGAAAACAACTTGTATCTCAGCTAAGCGCCAGAAATTCACAGTCCTTTTTTTTGTGGGTAATTTTTTTATTAAACAGGTAAAACAGAAGCAAGAAACAGGCACAGGCACACAACTTTTTTTCTTTTGGCAGCAAAAGTCACGTTGGAAATGCATAAAAATTCCGTAAAATAAAGTAAAGTCTTTGGCCATGCATTTATGCAAAATGTCGGAAGACCTTCAAGTGCTTTCTTTGGCCTCGCTTCTGCTGCTGCTGCTGTGCGTGTGCCACTAATTTGAAGCGAAAGGAAAATGTTTTACCTTTTTTTCTCCCAGCACGCACCTCATATAAAAGTTTTTTTCCGTAGGGGAGAGAGATGGAATTGCATGTCCAAAATAGTTGCCCAAGTTTGCTGCTTTGCATAATTTACAGGGCATGTGAAATGATGGGATAGAACGGAGCGCGCGAGAGAGACAGGGAGTAGACCAGCAACCCGAAGAGACTTCTTCATTCCATCAGAAAACTCCATTTAAAACCATTTTATAGGACAAGACACCGCAAAACAGTTCAAGGAACTTATTAAAACGAACAAATTATTAATTAAAGTCGTGCCATATGTTGGCTGATAAACTCTGCACTTTCATGGGTTCTATTAGATGCAAACATGAGCATTAAAAGTCAAGAAATTAACGAATAAAAGCAGTTTTAAGGCGCTAAATAAAGTTTAAAGTGGCTGAAAAGGTCGGTATGAAAATTCCATTTAAAGTTCCTCTGACAAGCAGTCCAAACACACAGGTAAAACCAGAGCTCACAGTTTCCTTGAATTTAATTTCACAGTAAATCTTTTCCAAAATCACCTTTCATAACCCAACGAATAAATTTAAACAACAGCATAAATTCTGTGCCCAAAAATCCGACAAAAATGTCTGACAGTTTTGGTGCGAAGGGAGGTATGTTAAAGTAATTCAAATTTGTGCCATTGTCTCTCAATTAATAACTAATTTCAGCACTTGATGGCTTAGGCAGACAGTCACCCTACACTCAGATTTGTATTGGCGCTGGCACTGGCCTGTTCGTTGGCTACGTTTTCTTCAAGGCCAGCAAATCCGTTGCCATTGCAGCTGGAGGATCAATACTGCTGGCACAGCTGGCCATTCAGTCGGGATTGATCAAAATCGATGCACTGGAGACGATCTTGTTGCATGGAAACCAAGACGTTAGAGGCAACATTCATGTGCTGCCAAATGTAACAAATACAGAGACCATGGAGATAATAATGGAACGGTTGACCAAAGCCTATGATATTGTAGCTAGCAGTAGACGACTGTGCGTGGCCATGTTGGGCGGTTTCTTGGTGGGTTTTGGCTTGGCCTAGACCCAAAATAAATATTGTTTAATATTGAAATTATTATTCAAATTAAAGTATGTAAATCTGTCAGCATTTTATGGTCCCTTTTTTCTAGCAGAAAAATGCTTGGAAATAGGGAGAACGCTCCTTGCTTCTTGGCAGATTTTTTTCTGCTCCACCAATGTTTTCTCGGTTAGCTATCATATGTAATCTGCATCTAAATTAGTTTTCCAAAACAGACAACCTATTTAGCTCGATGTGGACCCAACCCTGCGCCTTGTGTCAGTCACAAAACTTCGTTCATCACTTGCAACTAACAACATGGTGTGCTCATTGTACCCCTCTCTCTCTCTCTCTCTCTGTCTATCCACTGTAGCTCACCGCAGTTAATTTGTTGGACCAGCCCACACACACAAATAGTTCTCGCACTCGTTCTCGTACTCGTAAAGTGTGGTGGGAACATCGTTTGCTTTGAGCCAACTCTGAGCAAAACTCTTTATCCACTAACGGACACTGGGGCCACTGCACTGCACTGGTTACTGACTGTTTTCAAATTTACAACATGTCAACAATGCATCAGAGGCGGGCTCCAGAGATGCTTTACAGACTGCAGTGTCCATGGTCCAGCTCCCAGTGGATTTACATCACATTAACCATATGTTGGGTGTGTTCGGCTGTTGGTTTGCTTTTAGAATTGTGTGAATAAATATTACCCATACGTTCACGTTGGAAGTGGCTTTCGTTGGTATTTTTCTTTGTCAAAGTACATACGAAAAACCCTTAAACTCAATTTGCCAGCATGCAATCATGTAAAACTTAACGAACAATTGACTCGCAAAGGGAGTGGAAAAGTGCTGCAGAACGTACAGTTGTCTGTACACTTGCAATGATGTTGCAAGTTAAGCTATTCATGAATAATGCTGTGGTTGAAGGAGATAAATGGAAACTATTTAGGGCATTGCAAAAATGGGGATTAAGTCATTAGGATGAACATTTATAAACAAAACTATAAGCTAAATATTTTTTCCATTTATAGGTTTATTAGACCCCATTTATAATGGTGTTTTAAATATCAAGTATCTGGTTTAAGTATTCACATAAATTTTTCATAGACGTTACCTTAAAGTTGTAGTCTAATAATTTGTGATTGTTTCTATTTATACCAGGTACTCGAAGTGTAAAGCGGGTATATTGACCCACCAGACCCACCAAGTATATATACTCTTGATCAGCCATGTCTGGCTGTCCGTCTGTCCGTCCGTCTTGTTGAGCGCCTGGATCTCAGAGACTATAAAAGCTAGAGCCTCCAAATTTTGCCTGTTACGCATGTGTTGTAAAATTTCGCAACGCCTCCTTCCGCTCCCGCAAAGGGCGAAAATCTGCTGTATCTACAATTTCAAAGATAAAAGAAAACTTAAACCGCAACTCCGTAGGAATGGGCTTTGGATCAGATTGGATCATTATTATAGCAAGAATGAAAAAGCTTATTTGCAGTGGCTAAACCCACCGCTTCCAGCGGCTTTGCTTATTTGTTGCACATTCTCTCATTCCACACTTACAAAAAATGTAAAATGTAATGTACCGACTGAGTACCGGGTATAAAAGTTGTGACGCGTAGGAAGTGTCTCACACGTCCCTCCTCGTTGAACTTTTTTTCATTTAACAATTTCAAGATTTTCAACAATAAGATTGATTTCAAAACGTATTTTTATCGTAATTTTTACCCTATACTCAAATCTTTCCTAAATATCTAATAAAAACACATTTCCCCAAATTATGATTACCAAAAATACAAATTATATTCTCCCTTATGCAAAGTACAGTTGTTTGACTAACTTGTTGATACTGACTGAAGCTGCACGCCTTATCATGACCACATACTCGTACTCTTTATACATTCATGAATAACCCATCATTTGCGCTTAGCTGGAAAACTCTTCAACTTTTGCATATAAAATGGTAAATTTACAGAGAGCTCACGTATTGTAAGTTGCAGGTAAAACACCGACATTAAACAATAGCTATAAAATCAAAGTAAAAAAAACACAACGAACCAAAGAAAATGCGAACAAGAATTGTTTAAAAGTAAGGTAAAGGAAATTTCCTGAAGCAAAAGATTTTACCGCATGGCAAACACGTTTCGCATTGAAATGTTCCTCGTGTGTGTCCACGTTTTTGTGTGTATGTGAGTGCATAGGGGGTATGGAGGAGCTCTTGATCTCAAAAGTTTATGGTCAAGTTGCAAGTTACTGTTTCATTTATATTTCATGTGTGTGGTGGTGTGGCGGTTCCTTGTTTTCCTGCAATACGATTGCCATGACCAGACAGTTTTCCCATTTTTCTTTTCCTATTAATGTCAATTTAAATGTTGCAACACTTTAGTTTTCGTTTTTTTTTTGTATTCCCTATGTTTTTTGTTTAATAAAAAGTAAAGGTCCAAGGATGAAATATGGTATTGGACAAAAGCACTTAAAGCAAACTGCATTACTCGCACGGCCAGATAATCGGTAGGAAAAATAGTTCTACCCCCCACTCGTTACCTTTGCCACTGCATTTCCCGCAGTCATTTGTGGCAATTTGCGTGCTCATTGTTAATTTGATTTTCAGTTTACGATAAGGAAAACACCTCGAGAGCCCTGCTATGAAGTACTTTGCTATTTGAAGGGGGTAGAAGCAGAGTCCACTGCTATTTGGAGAGTTCAAGGCGTGGCTTGAGCGCATAATTGAACAATAAATTAAACAAAAGCCACTGGAAAAAAGACCCCAAAAAACGAAATGCATTCAACCTTAGCAAGTGAACTGTTAAAATCGAGAATTCAAGACAGTACACCTACAGGAGAGAACTTTTTGGTGTTTAAAACACACCTAAAATTCCTTTGACGCATAACACAAAATAATAACCGTTGCTAAACGTCTAAATTAATAAGCAATTATTTAAAATTCAATATTTACGCAACACATTAAATTCCAAGAAAGTCAATATGCCACATATTTAATCCCATTTATTTTAGTATTTAAGCCAGCAATTTCCAATATGCATTACAACTCAATTTTATTACGAAATTCTTGCATAAATAATTAAATATTTGTCTACCTCAGGCATACGAAAATTAATTAAAACAAACGCAAATAGCAAATCGCTTTGAAATGCCAAAACAAAAAATATTGTTTTGATAATTATATATATCATAATATACCTATTTAAAAGCGTTTAATAGTTTTTCTCATTAATTTAAACCTTGTCAAATAACTAAGTCTGGCAAAAAAAAAAGAAAACACACACAGTGTTAACTGTGGCTTGGAACAAGCCCTCGGCTTTTGGTGTTTTATCGGCACGGTGTGGAGGTTATTTTTACAGTTAAATGAAAGCTGGGGGTGTGACAAGTGAATAGAGAAATTCGCTTGCAAAAGGAATATGAAAAGTACATGGAAAAGTGCTGAGATGAGGCTCCCAACGAAGCACTAAGTTTCCTGAAAATATGAGAGCTCAAAATGCCTGGATTTTTAATTCATTTGAAAAATATTCAATGTAAAAACTAAAAAGTAAAACGTAAAATCCAAAAGTATACAAAAATCCTTCTTAATGTGTGAAAATTGGGATACAAAAGACGGTTCGTAAACGTTAATGCGAAATCGTTATAATGTCCATCAATAATTGTTTGGTCTCAGCTCTTGATGGCTTGAGCAGGCGTTCACCCTACACACAGATTGCCCTTGGCGCTGGCACGGGTTTCCTCACCGGCTACGTGCTGTTCAAGGCCAGCAAGGTCGCTGCCATTGTGGCAGGAGGAACGATTTTGGTTTTGCAGCTGGCAGTGCAAACCGGAGTGATAAAAAGTAGCCCCCTCGAAACGATCGTGTTACAGGGGTACCCTCGCAATTCAGGCAATGTCCGTGGACAACCAACCGCTGCCACCAATTCACAGTCGCCCAGGGAACAATTGACCAAGCCCTATGATGTTATAGCTGGCAGTAGCCGGATCTGCGTGGCCATATTTGGTGGTTTCTTGCTGGGTTTTGGACTGGCATAATATCATGTACATATATAGAAAGCTCTGGTTGATCGAATGCAAAAGAAACCCGATGAATCGAACTGATATTCGTCGGAACTCCAAATTTTACACGACAAAACAAAAAAAAAAAACAAAAACGACTTACACAAATTTAAAAATGTACAAAAAATAATGTAAACTAAAGAGAAAACTAAAAAGATTTAAATTCAGAGAAATATATGTTACTCGAACGGATGAATACTTTGAACTAATATAAGTATATTGTAAATTGGAGAAAATAAAGTATGTTAATGGCAGAAAATTGTATTCCGCCTTTTTGACCATAACCAAGGGAAATGCAACTGCAACTTTCCATAACAAAAGCCTTGAAAAGCCTTTCTATACAATTAGAAATGCTCTTAACAAATAGGCGACTCACCTACACGCACAATTATACATACATATGTATATTAAAAAGTTTTCTCGCAAAAACTTGAAAGTTGTAACAACATTTTCATGCGCTTTTAAACATTTCAATTTTCCCGCATAGAGAGAGACGGTGTGGGGATGAAAATGTATGCATAAGCAAAAGTTGTTCATAAAACACAAGGCAATAGCTAAGGAATGAGATTAGTGGCAGTGTTACAGAGGAAATTTCCTACATACATATGTACATCCATTAGTTTCCATTATTTTTTCTCAATTTATTGCTAATGCCATTTGAAAATGTTTTGAAATTCATTTGTCATACAATATACATACATACAAAAGTAGTTCGAGGAATGCCTGACCGTCACGTTTGGCCAACTATTTGACATGTGGCTGGCTCATGCCGCATTGACGAGTATTTTTATCTGTTTTCTTGCATCGAGCGAACTGCTTCCTGGATCCTGCTCCTCCTGCGTTTCTATGGAAGGAAACCAGAAATAACGCAAAACCCAATTTAAATCGAAACCGAAACTACAAAAAATTCTGCACCCACACACACACAATCGAACTACGCAATCGAACACGTACACATACGGGGGGATTGGGTAACACATGTTGTATGAGAAATAAAATTTGCATTTCCAAAAAGCCACACAAAAATTTCATGTTCTATTCTTTTTTGTCCTTGCATTGGAAATCGAATTTAAATGTCTAAAATGGAAATTCCACTGGAAGAGCCAAGTTTAAGTTGACATTTTGATTATGCAAATGCAAATAGATAATTCCAATTAGGTAGGTCTTGAATTAATTGAAAGAGCTGTGGAGGAGGAGCAGCTCCTCTGTGTCCACCAGTCGGACGATAAATGAAGTTGAAAGTTTGCCTTGTGATTAGCATTTGATTTTGGTTGCAGGGCAGAGTAGAGAGGGTGTGGGCAAGTGTAGCGAATGGTGACGCTCCTGCAGCCATTGCAAGCTTTTCAAATGAGGTCGACAGTTGGAGCTGCTGTTGGCTTGGACTTTTGGAAAGAGTTGAGAGTCAATTAATTCCAGCTTGCTAATTGGTTTGCTAATTGGCAAAGATTTTACTTGTGGCCAGTTAGGGAGTTTCCCCTAAAAGAGGCAACGAAAAGTGATTTTAATATGAAAATAATACTCGAAAAACAGGCACCGCAAAACGCATCAGGCATCGCTCCTTACATCAAATCAAACATAATTGTTTATTCAACAAAGTAAACCAAAAACCCCAAAACCGAAATGCATAACCAAACCAAAACTCCACTTAGAATATGATTACACGTATTGTAATCACTTTGAATACAAATTTGTGCAACATTTCTAACTAGCTGAACCGAAACCTGTAACCGCAAACAGCGTAAATTGAAAATGATTGGCGAAATTATTAAATTGTTTTGCCGCCAGAGTCAAGAGGCGGTGCATTTAATTGCTGATATTCTGGGCAATAACTCGATTAAATCATAAACAGCTCAAAGCAGTTTCCCCTGGAATGGCGGCAGCTCCAGCTCCAACTCTGTCTCGGAATCCGTTTTTCGAATTGAAACTTCAAAGGTTTTTTGCTGTTGCCACGCCTGCTCATTAAATTTTCATGCTTGCCTGCAGTCAGTCCAAGGTAAAATACGAGCATCGGCATCGGCATTGCAATTGCATCGTCTCGCATAGCACAATGCCCTCTCCACTCACCACTCCACCATCGTTTCCCCATTTCCACGCTTTCCATTTATATTCCGCTCAGCCTCTTCATTTGCTGCCTGCTTGCCGCCGCTTTTGTTGTTAACATACAAAACAAAAGGAAAAATAAGAACAACAAAAACAAGGAAAGAAAAACGTGGCAAAAAAACACACAAAACGAAACGGGTGGGGGAAATGCTAACTTCAGGGCAAAAGCATTCTCTATCTTCCTGGGCTTTGACCCATGGCGGAGACAGGAACAACGAAACTATTAAAGGGGAAAAGCACTTCAATTTAAATAATAAATAATAAAGAGAAATCTCTTTAGATGGAAATTTAATGAAAAAGGTGGCGAGTTAAATGAAAATGAATGACTTTTGTGGTGGCTAGTCTTTAATTTTTGGGGATTTTCAGGGCTTAGAAATTTTTGTATATACATATGAATGTATTTAGTTTAAGCTCTTAGTCCGTAGGGGCGCGGTAGGGAAGTAAAAAACAAGATATTTGCCATATGAATGGTTGAATGTACGAATTCAGGTATTACAAGAGAGTATTTATTTTCACTCTTTTGGTCTGTGAGGATTATGAATTACAGAGAAGAAGTAATAAAATATCACAGAATTGGCGAAAGATTTATGTAGACTTTTACTGAATTTTATAGAACTATAATTAGATTTACATTTAACTTTACTCTGCATTGGAGTCTTAGAATCAAAACTTTAAATAGTCGAGGTACAAAATAGTCAAATGAGAATAGAGACATAATATGTCACTGTAAAGTATCGTTGGTTTTTTAGCATGGTTAATGCGAGTATTTCATATTTGCCTTGCCGATCGCCAGCCTGAAGGACATATGAGTGGTTCATCAAAATCGAGGTGTGTAACGCAATGTTGCCGAGAGAGCCAGATAATGAAAGAGAGAATCGAAGCTCGAAAACATACGACGCCGTAAACTCTGCTCACGGTCAGAGCCGGACCGGACTGAAAAGGGTCGAACGGGCGACGCAATTGCGACTCTCCTGCACTGCTGGTAGAATCATCTGCAGAAATGCACCTGACAACAGCCACAAGCGATTGAGGTAACAGTAAAGTTACACATATCTAAACTCAGCAGTCTGCGCTCTCTCTCCATCATTATGTATGTAAATTGACGTATATATGTATGCATGCATAAGCTTACCTAAATAACTGCAAAACCCAAAATCAACTCTCGGCTTAGGCATACCATCAAAATATCAACATCAACAGCCATATCAATATCAAATCGGTAACCACACATAATTTAATTTATATTTACACCAAACTGCACACGAATGGGAAGCCCCATTCACCGGCAGAGAGACAGCGACAGAGATAGGGAGAGAGTGAACAAAAGCAACCACAGGTTTCCCGGACGAGCGGAGGAAAATTCCGGTAAAATTGATTGATAGTTTTAATGGCAGAGAGCGTTGGCTATAGCTCCTCCTCCTGCTCGTGCTCCTGCTGCTATGACAACCCACGCCAACGTTTTCGTCGCTTTCATATTGTTGCCAGACACTCTCGTTGATTGTGCGTTCGCTTGGATTAATTTAATGAAGTTATTAAAATCATAGCCAATGGTCGGTTCGGTAAAGGTTTTCCCCAATCAGGCTGAAACTTTTAGGCAGCATTTTCAGCCACATTTTGAGGGGTCTTAAAGCTGAGATGGGAGGGTTGTTTCAACTTTGAGTGTAATTTTCTGGCCTGGTCACTTACTGGCGGATGCAATTTCCCACTTAAATTGGCACTGACTCATGCCACCTCCATGCACATGAACTTCCTATAAATCTAAACCCAAAGTGGGCGTGGCACAGCTTACTATCAGGAATGCCCCATCTGCCTGATGTCTGATTGTCTGCGTCTCACTGCCTGCGTGTCTGCCTGGTCTGTCTGTCTGAAAGGGGTTCTCTCTGTCTTTCAGCTATCTGCCTTAGTCTGGTAGCGCATTACGTGCAAATAGCTATGTGAAATTATTTCCGGAATCGGTAACAAATATCACTTTGTTTGAGTTTCCACTCGCAATGAAGTTGCACCGAAGTTAGCTGCAAGCTTGCCCCACACACATGCTGTAGTTTTTAGGGCCCTTTTGTGGGTAAAGGTACAAAAAAAGTCTGAGCTTAAAGTAAGCCGTAAAGACTTTGACATGTAGCAGTGCCAAAACTATTAAAGTTTTCCCCTTCTCATGTCTCAAGGGAACAGCTATCTGAGCTGCATCTGCAGCGCGACCAAAAAAACTCTTTTTCTGACTGTCTGCTACGAGTGTTGCCACGGTAGCCTGGCTCTCAAACTGTCGCCATAAATGTTAATTAAATTAAAACGCTAATAGGCGTGAAATATGATAACACACAGACGCACACACACAAGCAGCAATTCTGTCACAGAAACGAGAGCCCAAGAGAGCCCCGGAGAGCAGAGTGAGAGTATGGGAGGGAGAAGGAAGCAGGAAGGGAAAGACCATGACAGGTAGCAAAAACAAGGAAGTGCCTGCCATATCGGTTACTAATTCGAATATAGTGCACCCTAATATTTCGAAGAACAAATATAAACTTTTTAGATTTATTTATTCTGCTTTTAAAATGTAACCCAATGGCAATGCATTTTGTAAAGTGTTTACAGAAAATAAACGAAAACAATTTAAAGAAAATAAATCTCCATTCCTTTGAAATTGTGGACATCAAAAGATTTTGTATCTATGAGATAAATTAGCTCTTAGAAGCTCTCGAAACATTCCACTTCCACTTTCCAGCATACCTTTCTTTCCAAAAACACTCCCAGATATCACAAGTAAGAAGGAAGCAAAAAATGGCAACAGCTGCCACATAGAGAGTCGTCTCCAGGGCTTTTTTGATGGCGATGAAGAGATACGGAAAAAAGGGAGTATGGGAATTGCCAAAGTTTTGCCGCTCGCTTGATTTTCCAGAATAATACTCGTAATAATTTAAATGAAAATTAGAAATGGGCACAGTCGAAGCATCTGCCAAAAAGGGAAAGCAAACAGACAGCTAGAGGAGAGACTC